GTTAATAATAAATGAAATGAATAAATAAATGAGTAAATAAATGAATAAATACGTAAATAAATGAATAAATATATGAATGAATGAATAAATGAATGAATACATGAAATAAACCTACATTAAAATTTGTTGTAGACATTCATGTGTAAAAACACAACAATTACAGCAACATTTACGTATTATGAGGATGAACAATAATACTAAGAAAGTTAAACACTAGATTGATTAACACATTCACCATTTCGAAATAATTATTTATCGTGTTTACTTGAAATATTTATGTACTTACCAGGACCAAAAAATGCAATAACTAAATAACTAGATGAAGAAAATTTGTCAATAAGAATGATAAAAAGAATTATATAATTGAAAATAGATATATTACAAAAATTTTACATGATTTCGACCGGAAGGTTAAGTCGAAGGTCCCCATTAGTATGCAAGAAAAATAAGAATTTAAGTATTCCTGTATTTGAAATAAAATAATGTAAATAAAAGTTTTTTAAAAAGACATGTGCTTAATCGATTATACAAATTTACATGTATGTCGATATTTTAAAGGAAAAAGAATCAAAGAAATACCCAATGTCGGGCACCCAAAACACAATAAAATGAGCGGTATTACTAATATTAGACTGAGGAGAAGTTTAAGAAAGTTCTTACAATACATAATGATATACTATAGCCATTGAATATTAAAAAAAAAATGAAAACTATACAAAATTATGTTAAAAGATCATGTGTCGTGAACTTGATACTCTAAGTACCGAAAACAAAAATAAAGTGATCTCTCCTTGTACACGTTAATTATTAGATTGGGCTATTATGCAAGTTCGCAAGAACAAGTCGAGCAAATAATATATACTCTGAGGCTTGATTTTATCGGACGCTCAATTCGAGATTTTTTTAACTCTGAAATTATTTACCTATTGCTATACTGATTGTATTATTATTAATATCTGCACTTATATGAAGCTAAGCCTCGAAGAAGGCTTATATAATTACAAAATATCACGATCACGGATTACTGTAAGGGTAATAAATAATAGGCGGTTTAGGTTGAAATTGGTTTTCAAATCCGGGTTTTAACAGGAATTTGCAAAATTAGATCCACGATCACGTAAATAGCAGGCAGTCAACAAAGAGTTTTTTCTCACATATATATTTAATCTTGTAGTGGTATCATAATTTTGTAATTGAACAAGAAGCTTAGCCAACGACAATGAAATGCAAATATTCCTTTGACTGTTAATTACCAAGAGGTTTAAAAGCATGTCTTTCGAAAAAGCTTGATCAAAAAATCAAGTTGAAATAACAAATAACAATATATAGTTGGTTTTACAATTTAATTGTATCGCTCGCGAGAAATTAGTGTATATCATAGTAAAGTGGCTTAGTCACGTGCCAGAAAATTTTTTGTGGGTAATCTACAGGGGTTCTTTTATTCCAAGGTCGAGTTTTCGCGCTGATTACAACTCTACTCATAACAGTATGTGCGTATAGAATCACTTGACACTGAACCTTGAGGGAGCAAAATAATATGATACTGAGAGAACATTATCAGATGTACTACTGCGCATATATCAGAGTATCGTATTGCGCATGATATATAAAAAATAAGCCGAAATCAAATCGACGAGATATATGTATGCATGAAAAATATATACAGGCCAGTTAACAGTTTTTGTCAAGAAAAATTTTTTATTATTATTACATGTGACGTAGCCCAGGATACATGACTAATTTTCTATTCCTAAATTCCGATTCCCTGCAAGATCACCTGACCTTACCCTTTTTATTTCCCTCGTTTCTTTCAAAGCTTTCACCGGCTTCTGCGCCTCTTTCAATAACCATAAAATATGACCAAGCACCTTTTCCACCATGCCTTTCATACCCTCACCATCATATGCAACAAATAAGGGCTTCGACAACTTAAATGATATGATTCCTTCACTGTCCTGCATACATTTCATGAAATACCATTTCTCCGCATCTGTTACAATCCCCATATTTTATCCAAACCATATTCATCATCTATTTTGTTTGCTTTGCACTTATGGTCTAGTGAAGATTCTATCTGTATAGTAGCTTGAGCTAGGCTCTGCTTAAAATCATCTTTTTTGACCTCGATCAGGCCAACTATTCTTCCAGTTGTACGTGATTCAATTCCAAAGTTAAGCTTCCCATGTCTGTTTTTTCCTTCGATCATTTTTTCTGGTACTGTTATAGAACAGTTTATTTTATTAGTTTATTATTTTATCTTAGTATTATTTTATTATTATTTTTTTTCTTTCGGCAATCCTGTTTACTTTATTATGGGAACAGACTTTCATCCTTACGTGGCATAAGAAATCTAAATCTATAATTGTTCCAACCAAAATGTAATTCACCCATGGTGTACCTTGCAGATGCTGTAACATCCACTTGCAGTTAGGGTGAACCATTAAACCACTGTGTTTTGCCTAGATGCGACCTGCCTAGCAATACTTGGCCTTCTTCAGAGATCTGGAACTCACTCCGAACTTATTTCTCCTGAATTCCTCAGCTAGCTGTTGCTCGCCTCATCAAGATTCCTGCCTTACAATAGAATGCCTTCAAACTAATGACATTTTCTTGTAGAAAGGAAAAAAGAAAAAAAAGAAATAATAGAAAACAAAAAAAGGAGTAAAAAATAAATTAATACATCAAAGAAAATGGATACTAATACTAAGGAATATAAAAAAATTAAACTAAAACCTAAAAGAAACTATTACTAAAAAGAAGAAAACCTGCTAACCAGGCAAAAACTTCTAATTATACAGA